ATTACAACCCCAAAAGACACTTCCACGTTAGTTACAGCGCTGGTAGTATTATTTCCTACCTTGGGCAAAATTTCAGCCCATTTGACTGGCCTAAATAGCTTTTCATGTCACCCATGAGATATTATTGTTGACCCGTCTTTTTTGAAGTGGGATCTCACTGCGCGCGAAACGACGAGGTAAGGAGAATAGGCGGAGCTTAAAGACCTTATAATAAAAGACTGGCCATAAGGCGATTTTGTCAAAAGACTGCGAAAGAGAAAGATATATATTCACTATCGCTTTCTCTTTCTCTCTATCTCTTTTCTACCTTTTTTTTTCTGTTTCTCTTGCTTTTGACAAAACTGGCAGACCAATCAAAACTGGCTGTCTTATGACCAGTTTCTTATTATAGGGTTTCTAGGCGGAGCCAACTGCTTCTTGCCGAGCTGTGTTAAAAATGATGAGAATTTGATAAAAATAGGTGCAAATAATTCTTTAAATATTTATAAGACTTTTACGAAGACTAAAATAATTAATCTACATAGTTATAAAAAGAGTATAAAAATAAAATAGCATATTGCCACATTTCAACGTGTATAATAACGTATTTAGGTTTCAATTGTACAAACAATGACCTTTAAAACCTTAAGAAACAGCTAATTAAATGTATATTCCACATAATCATTTGCTAACTCATTTATCTCGCGAAAGCACACCTATAGGCTTTCCTCTGCCCCACCGCACAGTGGGTCCAAATAAAACTTAAAACTTTGTGTTGCAAAAAAGTTACAGTCTCGAAATTTGAACCAATTTCGATGCTTTTTTTTATATAAAACCTAATAAAATTTACAACTTTGTCGAGTTAGATTTTTGATTTTTTACTTCCCTTGTTTATTAAATCAAACATAAAAAAGTTAGATTTAGAAAATTTTAAATCAAAAATTAAATATTTAATTTAACGTCGAGGGCAGATATTGATATTGAACTTAAATGATTAAACACTGATTAGGCTTGACAAAATCTTAGACTGACAAAATCTCTTGATAACGCTAATCTTCGTTAATTCTCATTCAAGAGTTGATAGAGCTAATTCTTGTTCCCAAATACTACGTCCAATCATATGTTGATACGTTTATGAGTCATTACAAAAAAGTGCGTGATCAGCCGTTTAACTGTAGCAGTATAGGTTTTAAACATTTTACAGAATGTAATACACGAAAACATAACAGATTGGTAACAAACAAAGACATTATAAATAAGCTATTGATCTTCAGATCCTTATATAAGTAGTCTTTGTAATGCATTCGGTCCAATTCCAATAGATGCGGACACTCGAAACTTTAACTTAAAATTCATTAATAATAAATAAAAAAATTGATTACATAATAGAAATACTTCAGTCTTACTTTATTCAGCAGTTTTTATTAACTAAAATCTAGTGCTATTTTAATTAATTTTAATTAATTTTAATTAATTTCGTTTGTTAAGATAAGGTAAAATTTAGTGAGACTTTGTTAGTCTAAGGTATTTTCAAGCCTAATCAGGGTTTAAAAATTTAAGTTCAATATCAATATTTATCTCCGATGTTAAATTAAATGAGATATCTAGTTTGATTGAAAATTTTCTAAATCTAACTTCTTTGTTTGATTTAAATAAAGGAAAATAAAAAATAAAAAATCTAATTCAACAATTACCTTTCATTTAACAAAAGCATCAAAATTGGTTTAAATTTCAGATATACAAAGTTTCATTTAGCCTCACTATGCGCCGCCTGTCTTGCAACGTGACGGCAACCAACCTCCTTCAGATGCTAATACGGCTCTGTGATTGGTTTATGCCATCTTAAGATTGTACTGAAGAGGCGGTCTTAAATATAAAAGTTTTTCCATCAGAGCGCCGTTTGCTATCCGCGGATTACGTTTGACAACTTCATTTCGACTTTGACTGTCTTACTGTTCGGACGTTGTGCCTCGATATGGCTGGTGACGTTTTGATTTCACCGTTTGTTTTGGAACGCATAAGAATTGTAAGCTTTTAACTAATTTTTACAGTGTTAATTAATTTTATTGTTTTTGACCAGCGTGATATTGTAACGATTTTGTATAGTTTTTCTATTGTTAAATGTATTATTTTCTCTATTGTTTAGTTTTGCGTTTGTCTTGACATTGTCAGGACACCACGTCAACGATGCAATTTGTTATGCGGATCGGTGTAACTTAAATTAATAGCACTTGATAAGGACCGGAATTCGGTCGAAACGTCGTGCAATATTGTTTTAATTGGCCAGTTGGGTCGAAAATAAAACGACTTATTTTGAATTATTTGCTGGCGACGGAAATTGTTTTGTTTATTTTAAATATAAAAGGTCCAATTATGAATACCGGCCTATAAGACGTTCTGTTGACCACCCCTAAAAAAAGCAAGGACCGTGTTGGCAGCTGCTGCACTTAAACTTATAATCCTATCTGCGTTAAGATTTATTTTTAAATATTAGAAAATACATAGAATAAGATTAAAAAACTCGTTTTAGTATCTTTATTAATTCCTTTGTAATTATTTCCCGAAAAATACTGTTTAACCATCCAGCTTGCTTTTCCTTCTTTAAAGGTCCAGTCTATCTTGTTGACTCAAAAAGAGGCATTTTTTTGCAAATTTTTGTTAGGCAAGGTTAAAAAGTTGTCAAAACCATTCTTTTTGCATAATTTTGCACATTTATCTATTTTTTGTCAACATTTTTCAAATATTTTTGTACAAAATTGGTTAGTTGTAAAATATTCACACGCCATAGAAGTGAAGCATGCAGCGATTAATATGAAATTTTAGAAAAATGTTGACAAAAGATAGATAAATATTATGCAAAAAAAATGGTATTGATGTCTGTTTTACCTTGCCTAAGAAAAATTCGCAGAAAAGTGCCTCTAAAAGACTCATCAAGGTAGAATAGACCCTTAAAGTTGCAAAAATCTGACACGCTCAGGCATGGTACATCGCACAGTAGTGGAGGTGTATATTGACACTTTTTAGATATTTACATAATTCTGCATACAATAATAAGAAAATTAATTTGAAGTTTTGAGTTATTCATCCATAATTTACTATACATAAGGATTAATGTCAGCACAATGACGGAATATTAATGAATACTTGTATATTGACAGTTTTTAGACATTCACATAATTTCTCATACAATAATGAGAAAATTAATTTAAAGCTGTATCTTATTTATCTGTAATTGTTTGCTATACATTAAGGTTAATGTCAGCATATTTATGGAATATCAATCAATACGTATATACCAAAACTATATTGACATTAATCTTTATGTACAGCAAACAATCTCAGATAAATAAGATAAAACTTCAAAGTAATTTTCTTATAATCTTGTATGCAGAAATATCTAATAAGTTCGTCAATATGCAAGTAATAATCCGTAATTATGCTGACATTAATCTGTATGTATAGTACATTACAGATAAATAACGGATAAAAACCTTGAAAAAGTGACCGCAATTAGTTGCACATTCAAGGCGATTTTTGAGAGCTACGCCTACTTCTGTCCCCTTGCCTCTCCGCTCGGCCACGCTCGGTCACTTGTAGGGCTTGCCGACCGAGCAGAGCGACAAGGGGAGAGAAGTAGGCGTATCTTTCCAAAATCGTCTCGAATGTGCAACTAATCTGACCACTGAAAAGTGTGTGCAGTACGTAATGATACGTTTACTGCTGTGCGATATACCATGCCTGAGCGTACTAAATTTTCTCAAATTGTTTGGTCGACTTTGAATGCCTTTCCTTTAACAAGCATTATATTCGACGTTTTCGTATAAACGTTTTTATTCATTCTACAGAATCTGAAAGCACAATCGGTAATTTTGGGGTACTCGTATAACCGACAAAAAAGTTAACCTAAAAATGTATGCCACATTCATTATAAATGTACAATAAAATAATATTTTTTCAAGTATTTTAAGTGAAAAATAATAGAACTTACTCCTTGAATACTTCCTCTGAACTTTTCCTCTTCTCGCCTATCCTTGAAATCAATCGAATTCACTAAATTCACTGAATTCACTAACTTAAACTTTCGCTTCACTCGATCTTCAGATGGCGATCAATCCATAAACGCATAATAGATTGACTCGCACTCGCGACCTTTCTGATTGGTCGGTGATAACCGCCAATAACAGGCGTAGAGAAAATGGCCGTATCGCAATAAAGAAAATGGCCGTATCGCAAAGATAAAGAAAATGGCCGTCACGCAGAGACAAAGAACGTGATTGGTTGAGGGGCGCACATGCGTATCCGACATGTGTCTCCGACATGTGTCTCCGTCATGTGTGTTTTAGAAAGCGCCGCCAGAGCGCGCGATACACGTATCGAAGTCGTCACAATCGAGAGACAATCCATTGTTGCGCTGCGCACGTGAGGAGACATGTGAGTATTATGGTCAATTCAGACATAATTGTGACATGCCGGTACCGTGACCGTACCGTGACTACCGTGACTGTACCGTGCACGGACAGAAAGATTAGTTAATAAAGACGATAAGATTTACATAGAAATATTTATATGTAATTGTGACAGTACCAGTGCCGGCTGGTCCGTATTCATGGCTCACGGTCACCATGATCAGCGACGTTATTTTTACAAATACGGCTCGCACAGTACGACGTTTACGTTCGAACACGTTTCCGATGAAAACACCGTCGTACCGGCTTGAGCCGTATTTGTAATAAAAATAACCTCGCCGATCATGGCAACCGTGCAGCCATGAATACAGACGGGCCGGCATTGGTCACGGTTACATATAAACATTTCTATGTAAATCTTATTATCTTTATTGACTAATCTTTTTGTTCTTGCACGGTACAGTCACGGTACGGACACGACACAGTTACGTCTGAATCGACTTTAAGCGTTTACTATCCTTTGCATTTTTTTAATACTAGAAAACATTTATAAAATCTTTCACCGTTTCTTTATTAATGTATACATTGTGTATGAAACAGAGCGAAAAAAAAGCGATGAACGACTTGGAGAAACTTGCGCTGCTTCCGCAGAGGAATCGATCCCCGTCGGGATCGAGAGATAATAAGAAGAAGGGAGATCGAGACAGAGAAAAGGAAAATGACGATTTGAGGAGACATATAGATAGACAGAGAAAGAAGAAAGAAGAACAGGCAGCCAAAGAAAAACAGGAGAAGGAGAAGTTAGTATACTGCTTTATTTTTAGATTATAAAATTACATATGCAGGGTGACCTCTGCAATAAACTCTGAGGAACGATAAGTCGCGCAGAAATGATTATTTTTTTTGTCAAGCAACCCATGTTCTTTGACGCGTCATTTAGGAACTCCGCGCAGACAGGTCTTAAGTAACATTTAATACAATTATGAGTAATTATTTATTTATTGTTTCAAGTACACTTGCAGACAGTTTACAGAAGTTTACGTTTAAAGTATCTATCTTGATTGCATTCATGACACCATCGTAACATTGATTGTCGGACTCTAGCGAACATTTGAGATCATGTTGCAACCAACTGTAGCGCAGAATACAATCAGGTTCAGAGTGGACACTTTGAAAACTTGTAAACTGTCTCAAATGTACTTGAAACAATAAATAAATGATACATCTCATAATTGTAATAAATGTCACCTAAGTCTTGTCTGCGCGGTTGTAACTCCTAAACGACGCGTATAGGGGTTGTTTGACAAAAAATGATTTTTTCTGCGAGATCTATTGTTCCTCAGAGTTTGTTGCACAGGTCCTGATTCAATCTGTATAGTTGTAGCAACACAATTCATGTAATTTTGTTTATTATAAATATAAATGATTTAGGAAACGGAGAAAGGAACGAGACAGAAAGAAACACGTAGCCAAAGAAAGAAATAGAGAAGAAATGAATATTTCAGAAAAGGATGAGGATGAAGATGAGGATGAGACAGAGGGAGAGGAAAATAAAGAAAATAAAGGGCAGAAAAAAAAGACAACAAAGAGGAGGACGGAGACTGGACGAAAGAAACCAGATGTAAGTTACATTTACCACATTACAATTACTTAAAAAAGGGGATGTAAAAGTCACCATTTTGTGCCCTTAACAGAAACCTGTAAAACACGCTTTGCTATCCTTTTTTAGGCTGAAAGAAGAAAGAAATAATAATTTTTCACCAGGTAATTGAGGGAAATATTTTAGAAGCGATAAATGTCTTTAAAATGTGTGTCAAAATAGCTGTGTTTAAGCGGTTTAACTGCATTTCCATTTGTTAGGCCCAGTAGAGCTCGAAGTAAATTTTTTAAATGGGAATTCTCTTATTTTGTAGTGCATCATCTTTCTCTACTAAATAATTTCAACAACTTTTGTCTATATATTTTTATTTGCCTAGTACTTTTTGAGTGGTGTAAAATTCATTAAATGGAAATGTAATGCTTGTTAAACTGCTCAAACACAGCTATTTTGACACACATTTTAAAGACATTCATTATCGCTTCTAAAATAATTCCCGCAGTTTCCTGGTGAAAAGATTATTTCCTACTTTTTCAACCTCACCTGTAGCAAAGTGTGTTTTACAGGTTTCCGTTAAGAGCACAAAATGGCGATTTTTACACCCTTTCTTTTTAAAGTCATTGCTATTTAGTTAAGTAATCTATTGCTTTGATTGTTACATTTCCGTGTAGTTATTATCTCTCAAGAGCGCGGCGAGCGAGGGGTAGAGGAGGGCAGAGAAGCTGGAGAGGGACAAGAGGAGGAGGAAACTGGAGAGGAGGAGGAGGAAGCTGGAGAGGAGCAGGGCGAGGACATCGAGGCTACAGGGGTGGCCAGAGAGGTGGCCACATGGGTGGCTACGGGGGTGGCCAAA